CGGCTTAATTCCCGCACGCACTTACGCAGCGACGCGGCGGCTGCGGAAAAAAGTGCGTCCGCCGCCGCGCGGTTGCTCGCGCGCGAGCTCGGGATCGGGCTCGTTTCTCCCGGGATATAATGCCCCGCGAAATAGCCCCTTTAGTATGATATACGTATCACTTACGCGGCGCGATAATGAAAAGATTTGCCGGCTCTTTATGACTTCCGTGCAACGGCTAACAGGATCGTTCATTTCCTTCCCTGTGTTCCTCCTCCTACGGCATTCTCCCGCACGTTTTTCTTTCTCACGCAGATTTTCCGGATTTTCTCTCTGTTTTTCGTTCGACCAACGTTATTACGATCGATATTTTATATATATACGATTAAGTTATCGAGAATTCTTAAATAAATAAAGACCACAATAAATTTCCAATTGTAAAATGTATAGTCAATTTTCGATATATTCAAAATAAATATTAATTTTATCAGCGAGTGGACTTGGATTCAGCGTGTAGATTCACGAGAATATAGCGCTATTTATCTTTTCAAATCGAAAATTTCAAGTAACTTTGCACATATTGCATCGGCGTTCTTTTTCACACGCATAGATATCAGAATAAAAACAAGGTGGCGAGAGAAAGGATCGCTTGGCGAGCACGTCGATGAAGCGGTTTTCTACGCGATACTGAGTTACTAAGTGCTTCGGTAAATTACGTTACCGCGGCACAACATGATTCGATCGATCGTGCAACCGGTGAGCGGATCGTTTTGTGAAAGCGCCGCAGAAGTGGCTGATATACACCCGTGCCATTCTACGAAACGAATCGCTCTCCTTCGCACTCGTGGCGACTTTGTAGCGTCACTGGGGCGTTTAACAAGTCCCAGGACGACGAATTGTGGGCGGTCGCGAGTGAGTTAGGGCGACGTTTTAGGGAATCGAGTCGAGTAAGCGTATCGCGTATCAGCCGGCAGTTACGCGGATGAGCGATGCCGGGAAAACATCGCGCTTTGCTTACACTACTATTTTCTCGCACGCGCTAAATCATACTTAAAATCTGGCTCAGAAGCTCTCTTATCCTCTTTATTTTCTTCGCTATAATTTACGAAATCCATTGGCTTCCTTGACGTGCGAGTGAACATCATTGTCGGTCTTAAAATCCTTTCTACTTTATGACTAACGTTAGAATTTAATGTTTGTATAAATTAAATCGGAAGATAAAACCCATAATAAGAGAATATTTTATTTTAATCGTTCAATAACTAATGTATATTAATAAAACAACTATTAATAATTAAAAGAATATAGAGGAAGCACATATCCTTTATACATTATTAGAATATGTAATATCTCCGGGCGATGCTTTTATATATTCATTGACCACGATTTATTTTTTATGTATAGCATTCTGAGAGGACTTAACTTCAGATATTAAATCCTACTATGATTCTCTCTTTTTTTCTCTCACACCGGTTCCGCTCTATAAAATTCATTCCTCTCTCATTTGCTCTTTTTCTATCTCTGCATTCAACTTGCTCGCTCATTCTGTTTATATGCACGCGTGTGTCTGTCTCTCAGCTTCGCGAATCTCCTCTCAGAGCTTACACTCTATTTCCACGACAGCCTCTTCCGTGTCTCGTGACTGCGCACGTCCCGGTAACGAGCACGCCGTACTGTCGAGGAGGAAAAAGATTGGATTCCCGGGAATTTCGAGAGAAGAATTTTTTAATACACGTACATAAACGTTTCGCATCGAGCTGCGCGACGTTCCGACGACGTAAAAATGTTCTTTATGCGAAAGGCTTTTCGGTCACGAAATGTCGAACGAAATGCGAGCGCTCTGTGAAACCAAGAAGAACGCTAATTCCAACGGCGGATCACTCGCATACTTTTTCGTTCTCCACAAAATGCGAGTTTTTCCAGCGCGCTGCGATTAACACGAGTAGTACCAACAATTTCATGGAGTAGATCGCGAATACCATTGCCACATTTTATCGACACGGTGACAAGTACCTACATGTGTCGTAGACCAGCATGTAACGATCAATGAACGTCATTTCATATTGCGTCCTATGTCTAACTGTGATTCCATCTTTATTAAGTTAATATCGACATGTTTATTTGATAGAATGTTTAATAAAAGAAAGCTGATAGTAAAATGACATTACCCTAAAAAATCGATTATAAATCTCCGCAACATTTCAAGTATCAATAAATTAAAATAGCATTTCAAGTCTTCCCGATATTACATAATCGAGATTTTATACATTTTATATATTTGCGGCATTGATCGATAGCGGTCTATTCGCTACATTGCAAAGTGAAGCAAACGTAGCAATCTCGGATCAAGCCGCGAAAAACAGAAATGGCAGAATGTAGGAATGCAGGCGGATCTTAAAAGGGTCACGATCCCTTCCGACTGTCGACTATGCGCGTCTGAATTTTCGACGGGGAGGGGAAGAAGGAATTTTTCCAGATACTTTCGCGGGAAGAAGACGCCTCCCGTTCTGCTCGACTGCGAGGAAACCTTACGATACTTGCCGCCGTAGAGGTACGATCGTTAAAAGCCGTCGTCATCTTAGCATCCTCGTCCTCAGGGAGGATTTTCTAGCATGCTGCAGGAACCGTGAGATAGCGCAAGCGGCAAGTCGGGATGAAATTGCGCCAGTTGATTCAACATTATGCCAGAGCGAAAGAAGTTTAACGAGAGAAATAGTTTCAGATAACTACACTCCAAGTTTTATTTAATGTTTAAGAAATTTTGAAACGTTTAAAAAAATGTTTAAGAAGTAACTTATTTGATATAATCTTCAGACCTGTGTGTGCTCAAGATATTTGATTTAGTTAAAATTTTTTTGTTTATTGCGATTACAGCTTTGATTATAATCTAATTTAATTAATAATTCCCTGAAGACAATGAAATTGCTAGGCCCCAAGGCAAGATTCAATCTCAAGATTATTTAATAGGTCTAGAGATAATTTCGATGCAATCTAATTTGATCGGAAAGTAGATAAGATGGAGAACGAGAGGAAAAGGGAGAGGAAAAAATAAAGCGTCTGAGCGAGAGTTTGCGAACGATTAATTGTCGAAATAACTGCAGACACGAGGAATCGTTTAGGCTCTGACATTCCGGGACATTGTTTGGCACGGATACACTCGGTTGGAACGCGTGTCTCCGGACACGCGGGACATAATATACGGGGACAGTTACGGTCCTCGGTCCGACGTATATTATGTCTCGTGTAAGTGTACCGCTCCAGACGTCCATCGCGTAACGCTCCACGTGAACGTGCGCGAGGAATTCGCCTCGTGAAAAATGAACTCGGCCCTATAAGTTAACTGACGACATTCAATATCTAATCGCCACGGTGTATTCTCGTTCGATAATACAAATGCTTGAAATCCGAGTTTTTCAACGTATTTTGTGTAATATGTGCATTTCTAGTGATAATAATTTTTTATAAGACTATAAATTTCAATAAATCCATTACGAATTTATTTTTCTACTCATTTGTTGAAGTCTCGGAGACTTACGTTATATGTAATGCATTATATATAAGATATTTAAAATTGGTTTTTAATTTTATATATTGGTTTTTTAATCTTATATCGCGCGCGCGCGCGCACACACGGTGTAGAGGTAAATAAGGGAATTCTATTCTCTCTTGAATATAAAGCGAGCTATCTTTTAACAGCATTTTCGCTCGGAATTCTCCGCCAACCGAGATTTTATTTTCACTCTTTTCTACGCGCATGCGACGCGAGACATGGCCGATTTATTCCGTCGTCGTTGGAATCATTCGTACGATAAATAAAATCCGTAGGAAAAAGGATGCGCGGCATAGGCGAGAAACGACGAGTCCGCCACGGCTCGTCGCGATCTACGCGCGGTACACGCGCGAATGCGCGCGCGGTGGTTTCACGCCTGTCATGTAGACGACGTTTAAATCGAGCGCAGAAAAACGCGACCCGTTTCGCAGTCTCGGGTCGGCGTGTCGGAATTTTTCTCTCGTGACGCCTATTTTTCGTCGACTCCCTGCGAAATGACTCATTATCGTCGCTCAAAATAAACTTCTGTGCATTTTAGTTCTCCACGCGCAGTATATTTTTCACAAAATATAACTGAATTAATGGAATATAAATTGCAGCAAAACAGGTAAAGCGCGGATTTCAACGATATAAAATGTATGTTGAATTTAATCTTAGCTTAAAAGGTGTTATTTCTTTTCTGCTTTATAATTCTAGCAATGATATGTAATAAGTAAAGGAAGAGAATGCGACATTGATTAATGTTAATCAGGATTAACATTAATCAACGTCGATGTAATATGATTGAAATGCTTATCACTTTTTACGAGCTATAAAAAAAACTATCGAGAAAATGTCAGCCAATGTATCAGTTTAGATTTTCTAGTCTGATTGACAGATTAAAAATGTCAAAAACGTGCCTTCTCATGTGCGAAACAAAAAAAAACGAATCGTTTTTTCGCAGATAGAAAATGACGAGTGAAAGAACTGGCGCCTGCGACGCCGATCACAGGAATAAAGACGAGTCTCGCTAATTGCACCGTCGGCTTTAAATATTTTGACGTGCCCGAAATTTGGCCGCGCGTGTTACCAGTTGCGCAAATATTTACGATCGTCTCGCTCTCGCGATTCTCCTCGGGTCCCGGGTGCTTCGCCGTCGTTACGCGCGCTATAGGAGATCCATTTTTTTTCGTATTAAAATAAAATTAAACGAAGCCTCGTGACGAGAGAAGAATGGCCCGCATGAAAAATCACCGTCCACCTCTTCACGAAGAAAGGATATTACGGATGTTACGCTTCTTCTTGCTGGAATCGTAAATCTTTCCGCGCCGCGCCGTTGAGTTTCGTGAGGTTTTACGAGACACCAACTGGCTGCTCTCGTCGGGGCCGCGATTCCCCGTACGTTATTGAACACGACATTTATTTTTGCATCGCCAAACGCACAGATCGAGCAACGATGAATAAATTGATTAGCTTTTAACAGAGACATGAATAACTTTGAGGTATGCAACATTTATTTTACATTGTTACATGGTTAACGTTAAAATTCGTTACAATATTTGACTAATATAGCCATCACCCGGGGTATTTATTATTATTTATACCGCAATAAAAGTTTACATCGAAAAGTCTCTCGTGCTGACGACAATCTCCCAAACGATATCGGGACCAACTTCTATGAAACGGCGTGTTGCCAATATTCGATGGTTTCCCAATAAACTCGCGCGGCGGGTTGCGCGGTCTCATCCGTGTCAATTAGGAGCTAATTGATTTCGAGTGTAAATCTCTAATGCACAGTAAGATTTTTCAACGGCGCCGCACCGTTTCGATCGGGGTTGCGGTTGCGGCGGGGCCTGCAAGCAGAGCTTGCAGGCGAAAGCAGTTGGTTCCCACTAAATTTACGACGACGAGAGGGCTAACCCTCCTTTCTTACGGCTCCTCACTCGCATTGCTCCGTTTCTCCGCCGTTAATGAGTCCCTATCGTACGGCGCCATATGTTTCCCCGACGATACTGTTTGTTTTTTTTTCTGCTTTTGAAGGCGGAGAAGGGGCGGAGAGCTTTTACGCCGGTCGTATACATCCTCGCTGGTGTTCCGAATCCGCGTGTAAAATGTAACTTAACCGCTTTACTACATGCGTCCGCGGCCGCGGCCGGGGTCGCCATTAAATGTCCGATTTTTTTCGGGTTTATGTTATATTCATGCGTTGACAATGGATGGATGTACAGCGGGAAATTTCATCGGCGCGCGAAATACAGATAAGCAAACAGATATCCGCTGGATATTGGCGATGATAGGAAATCGATCATTCGATTGATGCGAACGCGCTTATTGTTCGGCAAGGGCAGTGAGGCGAAAAATTTTATCGGCATACTGTCGTCATGCACATAGAGACTCTATCACCTCTTTATTGCATCGTCCAAATTTTTAATTGACAGCGGTCGCTCCTAGAGAATCTACAGTTCGCCGCGTTCCTTTTACTGCGCAAGAAAAGATGTTTGATTATTTATTTCAAGTAATGTAGTTACGGCTGCAAATTTTGATCCGTGGAAGTCCGTATTACATACCGCAGGTCAAATGTGCTAAACAGACTAATCCTGGACCGCAATCATCATCGCTTCTGCAGTGGCGTTCCTTCTGATTATCAATCTTGATGATTTCCCTTCTTCGTCTGTCTGGCAGATGTAGAGACACGATTTCTGATTCGCTCTTAGAAAACACACGCAACTAATGTTAATATTATTGCAGGATAATCGTGCACTGAGAAAAAAAGTTGTTAACTTGACTAAATGCGTTCGACTGATTAATATTTTTTTAATTGAAATATTTAAGTATTTAAGTCAAATTACGTCATGTTAGATTTAATATGTCGTATTTAATTTCAAATCAAGTTAACAACTTTTCTTCTCAGTGTGGGAATATATCAAATTCAGAAATGCGATATTGACACAAAATCGCGATTAAAGGTTTTGGAAAAATCGCAACAGGTATAGGAAGGAATTATGACGTGTGAAATCGATTAACGCGATTACTCACGGAGTCTTTGCTGGAGTCGTCCAATTCGATCACCTGAATGTCCGGTTTTCCCTAAGATGGAACGACCAAGTGAGATTATCACATAATCACTGTGTAAGACTATAGCCTGCACGGTGCGTCTGAACGGCAAGATTAAATCGATTCTCCGTACCTTTTTGTTCTGAATGAAACATGACTCGGCCGAAACGGTGTGTACTAACAACGCGAAGAGAAGAAGTCGGTACATGCTGGGCGAGACGCGTTTAACAGAATTGCGACGTTTCACGACGCGCGAGCGCCCTTTATACCCAATCCCAAAGCGCTGCTTGCGAAATTGTTCCATCAGCGTGTTCTTATCGAAGCGTCGTTAAAGCGCGCGCCTTCGGAAAACGGATTGCCAACGCTTCTCTTAACTCGACCGGAAATTACGCAAACGTAGATGATTTCCGACGTTGCGCTAAGTATCCGTGGGATTCACAGCTCATTTTCGCGTTTATTTATCTAAATTAGAAAAAAGAGAAGCACGTCGTAAAGTATGTCGGTGTCGCGCAATTTTCCCGAGCACGGATAAAAATGGGTCTTTTGCTATCTTAATTCTACGGCCGTTTTAAAATGTTCCAATCGATCTTATCAACGAAAAATGTTTTCGACTAAAGTAAGACTTGTAAAAAGTTAATGCATTTTAATTTAACGAACGAAAGCATTTTCTCCTAGAAACACGTCAGTGTTCACTGCAGCGTAACTGCACGATAGCAATAAAAGATATCTTATCGATTATTTCGAAACGTTACGATCGCGTTGCTTGTAAGCCGGCGATGTCTACGTATCTTTATTCGATTTCGTAGTATTCCCTTAAGAGATATATATTTTCAGTCTCTCCTCGAGTCCTCGGGAGACAGAGAGGATACTTACTGTGCATTTTCCGCGGACTACCGCGCTATCCTTCCGTAAAATAAGAAATACAAGACGCTCGTTTTCCGATGCTCCGATCCCACGAGTGCAGTATGCATTTTCGCGTTTTCTCGCGCGGCTGCAAGTGAGACAATACGACCGGCGACTTTTCATCGGAGATCGACTTTAATGACCGACGAGCTCTCGACAATCGGCCGCGAACAAAGAGGCCGTTGCCTTTTATTTTTGTCTCCTCGAACGAAAATACGCGCGGAAGAAGAAGAAGAAGGACCGGAGTTACGGACATCGGGATTAAAACCTTTAATCAGTCGCGCGCCATTAACTTTGTTAGCAAGGTACGTTGCGGTTATTGTGGAACAAAAAGAGGGAAAGCCAGCGTGGAAAATCCGGCGGGAAAGAGTAAAAACTGCACCGCATGCTGAAGGGCCGCCTGGCCCTTCCGTGTTCCTTAGTCGCGTCCGAATGATTATCACACATCCCATTAGCACTTTAACTCATGTGCCGTCCGCTTATTACGTGAATAATCAAAGATGTTTTCAGCCGCCGGCGAAATGGCCACATTAGGAAATTGCACGCTCGGCATCGCGCATATCGTTATTTTCGCTGCCTCGTTATCTGTCTTTGAGAGAACGCTTTCATTCGTGTCGATATATCTGCACGTATGGTTGCTGGATAAATTCGTGGCTTCCACATGTTTGCTTCGATCATTAATATCTTGTTCTTGTTACATCATTAATTCAGAAACAGAATATTATAGAGGAAGATTTATTACTGCATTTCCCCTAAAACGTGCCTAAAGTTTCTCAATGTTTGTGATTAAATATGAATTACAATAAAATTATTTGAATTAAATTAGTTAATTAAAAAATTACATGTTTTTGCTGTAAGAATTATTATTCAAATATTGGATGAAAGAGGCAGCTTTTCTGTGAGAAAGACACACGAAATAAAGAAAAATTAGAAGAGAGGGCAAAAAAGTTAATGCAAAACTTCATTTAACTTATTTTTAAAAAAATATTGCGTTCTTTATCAGGTGTGTCCACTACCATTACACCGTGTATGCTCTCGGGTGGTTAATTCTTAACACTACATGCTTAATAGCGAGGGAAGTGCGGTTGTTTACATAGCATCGGCACTACTGTTAGCGAAGTTGTCGTGTGAAGGAGTCCAAATTAGACGGTGGCAGAGTCCTCGACGGTCCGTCGACGTGACCGGACGTCCTTTGTTCACCTTCGTTGATTGTCGAACAACGTGGAAACTACTCATTAGCTTAGCAAATAATACTCTACCAAGTACTGCCCTAACCGTTGGTTAAACAAACTCGCTCACTCTATCGCCAGTACCCCGTTTCATATCTTTATTTTACTACAGCTCTATAGCATGATTTGCTTGCTTAGCGGTTACCCATTATTGAAGGATCAAAATGTCGTTATTTTATCGCAAATGTAAAAGCATAAAAATTAAAAATAAGACAATATGCTGCACAATAATCTCGATCGAATTTTTGAATTCGCACCGTTCTGATCTTATTAGAATTCTAAAATCTAAAATGTACGTAAAAAGTAATCCGCTTGTTTGAGCGGTAATCGGATGAACCGTTTAGATCGGGCATACACTCGGTTACAAAAGTCCAAGAAACTTGAGAAAAATATGAAAAAATGTGGTTTTAATATACGAGAATTCTACTATCTCTTATTATTATAATATATGTAGATTTTAACGGCGTGAGGATGAATTTTAAATGAATACGTGATAGTCAAACTCATAAATGTCATGTCTTCAATCCACCGATCTACTTTATTTATGCACGAGTGAGGGGACGAAACGTTCGACAAAAGAAGCTGGTTTGTTCGAGTTGTTGACTGCTTCGGGAAAACAAATTGGAAATAGTTCAAAAGAACAAAAGCAAACAGAGCTGCGGGCTTTTCTTGGCGCTCGTTGACTCCGCGGAAAGAAATGCGCGGACCAAATTAGTTGGAACAGTCACGGTCCAGACGACAGGTTGTGAATGATGAATGAATGCTGTAGTAGGTAATACCCCGGGAAAGGTAATTTTGAACTTTTCCGCGGTAAACGGCAAGTCTAGACATCCGTTTGAGAATAGTAACAAAGCACAAATCTCATAAACTTCAGGATATAGGGCTAAATACTCGAGAGAGAGTACAAGCTTTCTGCTACTCTGTCACGAATCCGTTTAATAATGCTAACTCAGCAATTATAGCAATAACTGGCGTAACACTGCTCTGTCACGAATCCGTTTAATAATTCTAACTCAAGCAATTATAGCAACAACTAACGTAACACTGCCAGGTATAATCTTTTTAACTTGAAGACTGTCCGAATCTACGCATTTATTTTATGTATGTAAGATGGTTTGCAGTATTTTTATATAGTGTTTTACACATTCTTTCTCATCTACCGATCTTTCATTATTTGAACATAATCTTTGCAAAAATTTGATTAATTGCTATGATTAAACAGATAAAATAAATGATAAATAAGAGAATATAATATTATATTTTCTCATTCTTCTGAATTCCAGAATTTTAATTTACGGAAATATTTAGATTTTTAAACAATCATTATTATCAGACATCAAAATTATCAATGACTTGTATTATTGGCGAAAAAATCTTGATAAATATTATAGAATTAATTCCTTCTCTCAAAAGTTCTTTTAAAAATCTGAAGAAACGTAGCATATCATTTTGTGCACTCGCTTTGCAGTCTTGCTCATTTACACTTTCCAGAAGCGAATCTTGTTAATCGCGGAAGAACGTTTTCGTGGAAGCATGGTCGAAAAAGGTAAAACAACGATCTGTTTCGTTGTCGCGTTAAACGGTTGATGTTGCACGCGAGACGAGAGCAAATGCGAGAAAAACGAATCTCAGATTCGTCGGGATTCGTTTGTATATTTAGACTATGCTCTTAACGTACAACACTATTGCTCTTTCTGCTCCTCTCTCTCTCTCTCTCTCTCTCTTTCTTTTATTCTTCAGTCTTAAATTGCCAAGCGCATCTCTCAAGGAAGTCCAAATAGATCGATATTAATTCCGACACTTTTTCACACTTTTCTTAAGTCCCATATTAGACTTTTGCGATCGAGTGTATGTCCGATCTAAATCGGTTCATCTGATTACCGCTCGGACAAGCGGATTACTTTTTACGGATATCACATTTTTCACTTTGTGAAAAGCAAAAAATTATTTAACGCCAGTCGCAGATCGTGCTCGAGTGTGTGCACGTGTTCACGTATGGGCGAGTGGATACAACACAGGGACGTTATATTCTCGAACGCGGCACGCTCATGCAGTATTCATTCGAAAGCGTTTAATAACCAATACCGTCGGCGAGCGGAATGTAATATTTTTTTTATATACCTATATGGCTATATATAAAAATGAAAGATAAAAAAACGATGAAAATCCGATATATCGGCGTGAGGTGCGCGCAGGCTCCATGAACGGCGTCACAATTTGTTTTCATAGATTTTTTCTCGGACATTATCGCACGTCGGGCGAATGCAATCTTTATCCCGTCCCAATCTGTTCATCGGCGAAATAATCCGAAAATAACACGCTTCAACTTCGATCGTCGCTACAAGATCCGGCAAATGATGATTAATGACAAAAATCCAACGCCCTTATTTAAACGGCCTGACTGATAAAAGGTCCTGCGAAAATTATTCGATATCGTTATACTATATCGTGCGGTAGGACATTAGTGATATCGATCGCACACGGTACGGAATCTACCCGAACGAGACGCGTGCGTGCATATGCGTGCACGCACGCGGAATCCATCGAAAAGCGGTTTAATTGAAGCGATTATCCCCTCGTTCACAAAGAGATAGCGACCAGCATTTCGTGATGCACTTACGTAACGATTAAGCCGGCGTGCATACGACTGAAACGAGGATGAGTGTGTGTGTTCGAGACATATCGTTATCGATGGAACTAATGCGGGACGGAGATTGGGTCCTGCGGTAGATACGACGTGCCCCCATCATGTTTAAAGCAGCCCTGACGCGTAGCGGTCTCGTCCCCACGTCTCGACTCTCTAACGAGCGAGTGATGCTTTTGTCTTATGATTGAAGTAACAATGAGAGGCGGTAAAACTTACGGAGAGACTTTGTTTAGATTAGAGCTCTGATCGAATCTCATTCGTCGATATTTTAAATTTTTTCCGCGAATACTTATGATTAAAACTAGAAGTGTAAAACGAAAGTGATAAGAAATATAATTTCGTTAATTATAATTATTTGAATCGTTATGTATGAAACTTGAATTTTCGTGATAATTGCGCGTTTTACGACCACGTACAATTTTACAACATTTTTTCTGGGGATTCCTTTACTCAGGGATGTGTCACA